CTAGTTCCATAATTACGACGTGGAAATAATCTAAGTGTCCACTGATACGTGAATGGATAAAGAAGATGTGGTATATTATACAATGAAATATTACTCAGCCATAAAAATGATAAGATCCTGACGTCTGCAGCAGCATGGATGAACCTGGAGGGTATTATGGTAAGTGAAGTAAGTCAGATGGAGAAAAACATGTACCATATATTCACTTCTATGTGGAGTCTAAAAAACAAAACAAAAGAACAAACAAAACAGAAACAGACTATTAGATACAGAGAACAAAGTGGTGGATCCCAGAGGGGAGAGGGCTGGGGGTTGAATGAAATAGGTGAAGAGGATTAAGAGGTACAGATTTCCAGCTACAAAATAGATAAGTCACAGGGATGTAACATACACAAAGGGTATATAGTCAATGACGTCGTAACAACTAGGTATGGTGCTGGACGGTACCTGGATTTATAGTGGTGATCAATTCATAGTATCTAAAAATACTGAACCACTATGTTGTATATCTTAATCTAATATAACATTGTTTGTTAATTGTAATTCAATGTAAAGAAAAAGAATACAGGCAGGGAGGACCACTGTATCACTTGTCATTTGTCATCATCAGAGAGAGGTGTTTCAGCACCTACACACACACACACACATACACAGACATGCAACTCCCACAGGCTGGTGAGAGCAAGTTGACTCTCCTGTTAGTGTGAAACTTTTACATTTAATTATGTTTAACATATACAATTTATTTAATGCATACTATCACCCTGGAACGTTTTTCATTAATTATGTTTCTAAATGTCAAGACTGGAGTGTTCAGTTTTGTAACTACACTAATTATGAATGTGTGCAGAGACAGTGTGTGCTGGTGGGGGAATTGGGGTATTGGGATGAATGCTGGGGTTTGGAGTGGCTATGGGTCAGCACCAGGCTCCCTTGTCTGTGTTCAGGAATCTTCTCTGAACTTTGATGTACCCTCTTGTAGAGATGGGAGTTCAAAGATCTTCACCTTGAAGCCACTGACCATCAGGAGCCCGGGAAGATCTCTCTCCATTTACTAAAGATGGGGGAGACTGAAGAAGGAGACTTAATTTTTTCTTGCTGATCAGATTATATGAAAAATAGTGGAAAAAATGAAGGAAAAAATGAGGTGACCAACACATTTAAAATTGAATAGGTTTTGAGTAACCCCTAGTAAGGTAAAACTGGAGAATTGATCATCTTTTTTCAACAACCATTGTCATTTGCTGCTTCACAACCACACCAGCAAGTCAGTGCCTACCATGTACCAAACACAGGCGATACACGTACCAGTACCTGGTCTTCAGTGTGTTCGGGTTATTAATTTTTTTGAAACAGATTATTTTAGGTATTCGTCAATCACTCCCACAAATTCAAAATTCTCACATTAAGGCATGCTAAATTTCACAGCCAACAACTAGTTTGTGCTAAAATCAGTTTTATAGGCTTTACTATGAGAAGCCGGGAAGCAAATTTCTCATAATCTCCATAGACAGAAGTAGCTACATTAATCTATGTCTTTACTGGGGTCATCCAGGAAATGTAAATAAGGGCAAACACAGAAAATACGCTGAGTGCATAAAATGCATAATTAGCATGAGGTCGGAACAGCGCTAGCTGCCCTCTTCATAGACTTGTAAAACATTTTCTACATCTTAATTAATTTTCCTATGAGAACTTGATGGGGCACCATTCTAAAGTCACATCGTTTATCACCGTCCTAGAGTCACACCTCACTTCAACATGCACATATCCTCTAAATTTTGACTATTTCTTAAGATGCTTTTTTTGTTCTTTATTTCCAAACGGGTTGACGATCAGTCTTCTCATTACCCAGGTGTCCTGGTACCTCTGTTACCTGATAGTTTATAAGCGACTTGGTATAAAGGGTGATATCGAGAAGGTGAAATCAGAAAGACACAGGCAATCAAAGAGAGATCAGCAATATGTGTCAGCAACGATGGGGGATTTGGGGATGAAGGGAAAGGATGAAGAGAGGGGAGGAGAGAGATGAGAGAGATGATAAAGGCCTGGACCACATGGCAGAGAGGCCACAGAAGTTTTAAGAACAGGATTTGCAGCGAAGTTGCATTCATGTGGTTTGCATTTCCATTGTGCAAATGTTCCTCCTTCCAGAGCCCAGTGACCAGCCTTCCACAAAGGCTTCAACCTGTCAGAAACCCTGTGTGATTGAGTATTTTTGCTTGTGTGTGGGTGGAAATTAAGGAAAGGGGCTGGGTTCCACATTAGTCTGACACCAGGGCAGAGTTTCAGAGCAGAAAGCAGGAATCCACTAAATGTCAGAATATAAGCTTCCTCCAAAGTCATAATATCCTCAGAAACAGCACAAGACTTCTCCCCTCTGAGTTTAAAACTATGGGTAACGGTGCTTCAAATTTGCTTAGTCTTTAGAAGGCACAGCATCCCAGGATCTTAGAGATATATGTACATAGAAGCTTTGAACGACGGAAGATCAGGAAATACAGAACAATTGCCTTTACAAATGTAGCTCAGGAGCCCTCTGTAAAGAAACAGCACTTTTAGTTCCAGCCATAATGAAATACTTATATTGAACTGATACTCCAGTAAAAAATACATAGACAAAATTCATAAAATAACTGTTTGAGAGCATTGGAGAGCAAAGTAAGACTCAAAGGGCTGTCATCCCTGGCGGGGGGGCGGGGGGGAGGGCACAGCAGTGTGGGCACCACGTTTATCCATGTATTTTTTCCCCAGGGCATCAGCTGTTTCATTGTGAGGGGGACTCATTGTTGAATGAAAGGAGTCTTAACTGGCAGAGGAGATGGAGGAGGACGTTCAGGTGCTCCACACCATCTGGGATTTGAGGAGTCAGTCCCAGAGAAGAGGTTAACTGCATCAATGTGGCCCTTGACCATTAGCCAGCTCCTAACTTGACACACACAGGGCAGTGCTCCAAGAAACTCAGACGGAAACAGCCGCTGAAAGGCTGAATGGTGGAGCAGAGATTCCAGCAGCCACGTATGCGGTGCTGAGGAGATGGAGGCTGTGAGTTCAGGGTTCACCATATAGGAGGAGCCTTGGCGGACATCTCAGGATTTTAGCTGAGCTCCTGAAAAAGCATGGCTTATGAGTGAGGGCTACACCACCAGAGTTAAGGGCAGAACCGAAACAGATCAGCCTAGCAAAGCCAAAGAGGGACTGTGGACAGGATGAAGGTGACTTGCTGGTACTTGACCTACCTGCCAAAAGAAAATATAACCCTATTTGGACGAAAATAATACAGACACTTTTTCCTAAGCAACATCTACATTTAAACAAAATCATGACATCTGCTAAGAAAACGGGACCAAATGACCAAAGAAAAAAACCCCAAAAAACCCCAACAAAAACAAACCAAAAAAGCCCAAAAGAAATAACAGAATGAAAACAGTCCCACAGGCAATTCAGATATTGGAGTTTTAAAATCAGTGTGATTAATGCTGTAGCAAAGAGAAAAAGAGGATAAAAAATCGACTAAAAGTAAGGACCTTAAATGTAATCAAATAAAAAGAAAGTAGGGGTCGCATTCTAACATTGTCCACTTGTCCACGCTAAGGAATGTTGGCTATTTCTCTCTGCCCTCATTTCTTTTTCCCTTTTTTGATTGCTTCCATCCTATTCAAAAACAGTTGTCACAATAGGCTGTCATGGGGAAAACAAAAGGCACCTATTGTCTTAAAACCTGATCTACTGGAAGGACTGACAAGAAAAGAGTCTTCAAGAAGAGGCAACGTAACTTGTAGCGTACAGAGTTTAAAATGACATGTTACTTGTGCCCATTCTGTGTTCCCGCCACTTACAAGTTTGTGTGATCACACACATATTTCGTTAACCATTTCATCCCATAAAAACTGATCAACACTTACCTTAAATAGTCATTTTATGCATTAAAGGGGATGTTTCAGATGGTCAGAGTACTTAGCACAAATAGATTCGTAATAATATTGATACTTCCTTTGCTGTTTGCTATTGTCAGTGGAGAGAAGAGCACATTCAAAACTGGTAATCTTGAACTTCAGAAAGGGGTACCATCTATGTGCTGTCATTTGATAAACTCAACCAAGATGAGGGAATACACAATTTGGACTCTATCTTTCAAAGTGGAGAATACTGATGACAAACAAAACGTCTGCCCACTATGGGTTCATCAAAACCAGAGCTTCTCAGACCCCCAGGGGAAAAACTGACTATGGCAAATACCTTGGACAAAGCTGAAGGCAGCAGATCAAGGTTTCTGCTGATACAGACTGCTATGCCTACATGCTCTGGCTTGCCTTTCAACAATCATTCCTATTAGACCATTTGTCTCTCTGACACATCTAATGAAGTCATGTTCACAAGCAGCTTAATCACAGGATGCAGTAAAGGACACATTTGACAGGGACGCTGTTTGTATAAACTGAAACAGGCAGCAAATATATAATTTCATAAAATGTTCATTATGCTTTCAGTGTGCCAGTCTTTGGCTTGAATGTTTTCATGCATATTTAGTCATTTTGAGATAGACTGCTTTGGGAATCGGTTAACAACAACAACAACAAAAGATATTCTTAAGCAAGATGCATGCCAAGCGGTGGAGTAGTGAACAATTACAGACAGCGAATTCTGAACCACATACTCTACCTGGAAATCTTTAAATTCAGGAGAAATCACACATCTCTAGCTAAATACTATATGTCACTGAAATTGATTCTGGTTATAAGCACAGGAAAATAAACAAGAAAGAAACCGAGTTAAAAGAAGTCACCCATAAATAATACTTTTCTAAAATGTTGATAACAAAACCCAGGTTTGACTTCTAGCTAATTATCTAATTGCTCAGCTAGCTGCTGGACAGTCAGATGCTATCTGTTCAGAGACTTTTTGAAGTGAGGTCATGACAGGTGCCTTTCCTGATATAAATGATCTCCAGGCACCGCCCGTGTGTTTAGGTCGCTGCACTAATTAGAAGTGAGACTTACATCACTCTCGTGACCTTCTCGGAGGTTGTATGTGAGGTCGTGCTGAATGTCTTCCACAAACTTGTGAGCGTATTCTGGGTAAAGGTCCAGCACTTCAAAGAGCCCTTTGAGGATGATGCACTGGAGATCACAGTAGGTGAGCGCCTTCACATCCGCATTGGTCTTAATCACTTGGTCCTTAATTGATAGATTTGCTCCAATTAAATCCCCTTTCCCTTGAAAGAGTGAAAAAAGAGACATATTTCTTTACAAGCAAGCTGAGGACTGGTAACTTCGTTTGATTTACAGGCTTCACTTCTCTGAAACGACACTGAAAGAGAAGACGTGCCTTTCTCTGGGGCAGGGTTTCTCAGCCTCAGCATTGTTGAGATTTGAGGCCCGATATTTCTTTGTTGTGTTGGAGGGATGTTCTGTACAGGATAGAATGTCCAGCAGCGTTGCACATCCCCCCACCCCCAGAGGTGACAACCAAAGATACCTACAGGCATTGCCAACTGTCCCTTGGCAGGCAGAATTGTCCTCAGATGAGAAAACTGGTCGAGAGAACAAAGCCCAGGAGCCCTAGAGTTAGGAGCTGTAGGTCACAGGTGAGACCCTGACGGGTCCCTCACAGGATTCCATAAAGGACTTGAGACAACGCAGTCGACATTTAAAAAAAAAATCACAGCTGCTTTAACCATTAAGGGAAATAATAATGTCTTGGTTTTTCTGACTGTAAAAATGCTCTGTGATTCTGAGGTGAGACCATCAGGAGGTGTATTAAAATTCTGATTCCAGCACTTTGGACAATATTACAAGCATCACCTTAGCTTTCTAATACACTCAGGGTGTTTTATTTCTCTCTCAATATGTCTACAAGGCAGGAGGGTGGTGTGGGAGGAGGAAGCCCAGAGGCAGCCACTGGGCATGAAGGACAATGGAGGTTACTACATAAAAAGGCAAAACACATGTCATAGTTTTGATGCCCTGTGACAGCATAAAATCCCATTTTCTCCAGTAAAAAAAGAAGAAACAAAACATAAAAGCTCTGAGCTCATCACTCGGGCCACTGCAAGAAGAGAGGACGTTATCATTACTTCATTCAAGTTATCTGTGCTGCACCCCACAGACAGTGCCTTCTGGTATTTCGTCTGTAACTCCTCTGCCTTTCACTCTTTGGTTGGAATTCACCTGCCTGGGAACTAGCTCACTTCTCTGAGTCTGCTGATTAGATAATATTGGACAATTATTGAAATCTTTAAAATCTTAAAATTGGTTTGAATCAGTTTCACTTAGCAGGAAGTTGCACATCACTGGAAGTGTTAACAAAAAAAATGATGGCAGCTTAGGTTATATTTTAGATAGAGCCATTAATTCACTCGGTGCCCATGAGAGAAATCCAAAAGAAAATCTATTCAGTTCTCAAACTTAGGTGAAAAGCTGAGGTAATCTGACCAAGTTCATAAAGGACACTGGCATTAGATTTAAGGACACAACTTAAGCATTTCTGCTTTGTCTTCAAATGTTGTTCTGCCTCGGGTTTAACTTATTTTTTTTAATGGCCACTTTGTTCTATTTCATAGGGAACTAACAGTCAACAGTTGGCCAACCAAAAACTAACAAACAATTTCTTTGGAATGTTATAGAACAAACTGTCCCCGTCCAACCTTAATCCACTTACATTTTTTAACTTCTAAATTTTTATTTTTTATTGTGCTCAGAATTTCTAGAAACAAAGTCTCTGGCATGAAGCAGGCTTCAATGAAAGTCAATTTTATTATATTTGACAGTAAAAGGAGACATGCCAAATTAATTATGAATACCTGAGCTTTTCATAAATATTTCTGGCAGATCAAAAATTGTAAATTATTGACTTATTTTTAGGTATTATCTTTGAATTAATATTGAATTTAAACCTTGAAATTGAGCCTATTTGGAAGAAGAAAACAAGAAATCTTTATTTATAGACACTAAGGGGATAAACAGCACATGGTACTGAAGAATTCTTGATTTATCATTGACACCAAGACTGTTAAACTTGGCAATTTTTCTTCTTGCATGTTTTATTAGAAATCTAAGTTGCTGTTCAAAAACTCAAAGTTGGGTACTGATGCAAGATGTAAAGACAGCCAGGAAGCCTGGCATACAGCAAATTTTCAAATTTTGTGTATCTGAGGAGAATTTATCACGATGCACTGCCTAGCTACGATGACCATTCACATTTTCTATTAAGCAACTGATGTTTGGAATAACTTTAGGACTGCTACACTTTCATAGCTTGGGTGACTAGAGTATGGTGATTTCAGCCACAGTGATCCCAGCTATTAAAACAGCACCAGCATCCTGCTAAACTTGACACCCTAGAAAGAATTCCAGCTGATTTATTTTTCCAATAAATATTTATGGAGCACTGGCATGTGTGCCAGACTTTGTGCTGAGCCCTGGCAAGGGACATGGTTCTCATCCTTACTAATTTTATGGTTTTGTGGATTACTCACTGTCTAGATGTAGAACCTAGATCTAAGTTTCTTAATTACACTGGGTTTCAGTCTCCTTACTTCTAAAAGAAGATCTCTATGGTCCCTTACAGTCCCCATTGCTCAGAATTCCATTACTGATACTTGCTAATCAGCTCGCCTTATCACTGGGGAAAGAGAAGTTGATGGGATGCATTTGCAAACCATCCTGGTTAGAGCTATAACTTATGATTAATTATAATTAGGCAGACTAATGCCATTTGTGAAGAGGGCTTTTATCAGTGCTTTGTCGTCTCCTTTTAAACCACAATGAAGAAATTGGTGGGAAAACACAATTACCGGGACGTGAAATGAAGGTGTACAAGGAGAACAAATTCTATCCCTGTAACAAACCCTGTACGTCAACTGTCTCCCCAGGCATCAGAGTAAGAAATGCCTTTATGAACTGACTGGACAATGGAATTGCTTGAATAAATTATGGCTTGACAGCTGTTTGGTGATACTTTCCCCTACAACATTACACATTAATTTATTTTGTTGGCAGAGTGAACACTTATTAAATATCTATAGATCAACTGTGAAGCCATATGCTTAAGTTGATCAAAGTCAGTATTGATTTAAATTGGCCCATAAGACAATATGACCGTAGGGAAAGTAAAACAGTCAATCTCTGTTGAAAGAATGTTAACCACAGAGAGAAAATATTAATAATTTATTAGCTTTGTTTGGATTTAGTCCCAATACCACATAGGCGTGTTTAGAACGGCCATGTGCATTTAAATCACTTTTGAGAGATACACGGAAGCAGCAAAGGTGTGAAAACGTTAATTATGAGAATCTCAATTGACGGAGGAAATCGGGGCTGGAAGCAAAAGGCAATGGATTAAATCTTCAGCTGTTAGTAGAATTTTTTAAAATAAGAAAATCCAACTGAATCATGCATTACAAACAATAGTATTTATATAGAAGCCATCAAATTTGTACCTATGTTGATGTAATGCTATAGAAAGTACCTTTGTATTCCATTCCTCGAATTGTTGCAAATCATTAAATTTAAAAATCCACCACAATTTTAAATTGGGCGGGTTACCAAATTTAAAAATTCACCATAATTTTCTGGTGAATTAAAAATTTATCCGAAAAAAACCCCACATTACATATGTTTTAAAATGGTGCATTAATTTGCTTACATGTATATCAAACCATACATTTATGGAAAAGTAACTATATGCCCTTTTAAAAGCAGGCTGTGCCACTAGATAGGCTGTAAAACTTTCAGCGGCACTAAGGAAACCCACAGAAAAATACTGCATGATTGAAGTTAAATTTTTGAAGCAAATTTTAAAATTAGTCATTTTTAATTTATAATAAAAATGACAGAATGACTGGTCTTTAACATCACAGTTGGGAAGTAGGCACGAAGAAAGTTAAATACTCCCCCCTTGAAAAAGACATACATAAAGTCCCACACTGATAATGAGCTGACCAAGCTGATGATAAACTTATTTTTTTTTAATTGAAGTACAGTTGATTTACGATGTTGTGTTAGTTTCTGGTGTATGGCAGTGATTTAGTATATATATATATTCTTTTTCATATTCTTTTTCTTGTAAGTTATCACAAGATACTGAATATAGTTCCCTGTGCTAAACAGTAGGATCTTGTTGTTTATCTCTTTTGTGTATAGAAGTTTGTATCTGCTAATCCCAAATTCCTCATTTGTTGCTATTCCATGCCTTTCTATTAAGTAAAAAAACATAAGGGGGTGAATCAAGAATTGAGCCCAAGCTTTGGAAGGCAAGCCCTACCCCTCCTCTGGTAAGCAGTCAGCTGGAGTTGATGGGAAGCAATGAAAAGCACACTGGTATTCCACCCCTCGCTGGCCCCCAGCTCTTCACCTCTAGTTGGGGATAATGACAAAACCTAATAGGATTTGAATTGGATAATGGACATAAAACACCCGGCCCCTATCAGGGATTCAGTAAATATTAATTCTCTTCTCTTTTCCAAAATATGACTTGTCTCGAGGCTTACTAGCTAAAATCTAGTGATTTCAGGCTTATTTTAGAGGTTGAAAAAGCACTGGATACAAAGTCTGAAGACATCGACTAGCTTTGACTTTGGAAAAATGAGAAAATATCTCTCTTACCTGTCTCTTTGTGCTAAAAAACTTAAATAAGATCCCACATGTGAAAATATTTTGTAAAGGGTTAAGTTGTTCTTAAATATGAAAATTAAAAACAAATGAAAAGTGCTGTATTAGCCCATTTTTATTAACACAAATTCTAAACACTGATGTATTACACTGGTGTTCAAAATCTGCTGCTTAGACCAGTACCTGATTCATTCATAGGCCCTCAAAAATATTAGTCAAATAAATAAATAAACAGACAAATGAAAGTGATTTTTAAAAGAAGTGCACTTAATTGTAGATGGGAATTTTTCTGCATTAACCCTGCGTGTCATCTTTTGTCAGCTGACTTTTTACATTTCGGTGAACACCAACTATACCTTAATAGTTGGAGTCAATTTTGTGGTACAAAATCTTCGCAAATTGTCCTATGAGTTTTCTTTAAAGAAGTATAAAAAAAAAAAACCTGTAGTCTCTTTGACAGTATTGGGTTAATGAATGCTATGAGAGCTTATTCTTAACATGTAATCATTTTTTGTGCCATTTCTAGCACAGGTAAAACTTAATTTTCAATGTTCTTCTCCGAATTGATTCTCCACAAAAATGCAGAAATGCCCTCTGAAGACAGATCAGCTGCTTCACCCAGAGGCTGTCTACATCTTAATTCATAATCTGCCTCAGGAATCAGAAAGAACTGTGTTCATGCTCTTGCTTTATTATTTGGGACAAAGTGAGTTAACTAAGATACTATTTATTCACTTGTAAAATGGTGATAATATTTATACTGCTGGCTTTTTAACAGCACAGTGTAAACTCAAAACATAGCATAACAATTAATAATAATGATAGTTTTGGGATTAATAGATACATATATATTACTATATATAAAACAGATAGACAACAAGGACCTGCTGTATAGCACAGGAAACTATATTCAATTTCTTATAATGAACCATAATGGAAAAGAAACAAAATATATATGTATGTATATGCAAATGTATAACTGAATCTCTTTGCTGTACACCTGAAACTAACATTGTAAACTGGCTACTCGTCAATAAAAAATAAGAATTAAAAAAAATAATAATGGCAGGGCATAGCTCAGTGGTAGACACATGTTTAGCAGGCATGATGTCCTGCATTCAATCCCCAGTACCTCCATTAAAATAAAAATAAATTTTAAAAAACCTAATTATCTCCCCCAAATTAAAAAAAATTGACAAAATAAACCCATATGAATTAGAATCCTGAGTCCACATATTCATGCATAAGTTTCCTTCTCTCGATTGCATTTGTCCCCCATTTTATTTCCTTAATTTATGCTCCAAAGTGAAATCTCACGAGGCTTTTCAACACAGACCTACCAAGAATCGCCAGCACCATGCTGTCTTTAAGCACTTCCATGGAGCCTGAGCACACGAAGTAGATGGCCTGCAGAGCGTCTCCCTGACGCAGCAGATACTCCCCCGGGGCACAGAAGGAGGTTTTGATGTGTAGGGACAGAGACCTGAGGCAGCCCCGGCTGGCACACTCAAAAAGGGACAACTGCAAGATTTCCTTGTTCAGGTGCATAGTGATGTCAGAACGGAGCTCATCTGGAAAGTCTTTCAAAAGCTGTCAAGGAAGATAAAAGAGGGAACCAAGTTGGAGTGAGTCCTGTGTGACTGATTTACTGTAAGACAACAGGGGCTCTTCCCCACTATGGGACCAACCAGAGTCCAGACGTGCAAATATATGTATGAATAATCCTGGAGAGATTTTTCAGTGACTGTGACCCCAGTTGTGTGCTATTGGATAACCAGCTGTTAATAAGTCTGGAGAAATAGAATAAATTAATAAAAGACTCTAGAATGAAACATATCATTCCTTGTGACTTGCTTCTCACAAAGATAGAAGATATGGAAATTGGACCCTCTAGTGTTTCCTCTGGTGTCATGATCATCTGAAGAGAGGAAAAAACAAATAATCACTTTAAAAATATTGATTACTGGTTTCACTGGGAGTTGGTGGAATGGTTATAGGACACTTTTTCTACAGTGATGATATGGAGTGTTTCTGGAAGTCCAAAGATAACACATGTGCTGAGAAACATATATATGTTTTGTTGGTTTTAAAGGCAAACATTAACTTGATTAATCTAATATTTCATGATTACACCATTCAGCTGTCATAAGAATTGGTTCCCTCAAAGGTCAATGAGAATGAAAATAAGTCTGCCTAACTGACCAAAGTACCAAGTTAATGTAAAACACGGGCCAATCAAAAGTAGCACCATGAACACGTAAGCTAGAGGAGATGAAAGATGTGTTGGGGTCATGAGGGATTAAAAATAATGAAGTAAAGAAGTTGGTTGGTGTAGGTGTACTTCACTTTCAAGACCTGCATTACAGCACCTTACTTTTACCTTAGAATATGTGCTTTCTGCCTGAAAATGTCAACGTGAGAAATGAACATTACCTCATTTGAATCTATTCCATTGTTGACTGACCAGGTTGTCTGGAAATATTCAAGCATCCTCTGCTTGAGCTGCTGGGGAAGGTGGTGGACGCGTATGAAGTCCTTCAGGTCCTTCGTTCTAGTGTGATACAGGGACCACCTGGAATACATCCTCTGTATGATCGCCGTCACGTTCCCAAACACCAGGGCGTGCATCAAGGCTAGAGAAAACAGCACACAATGGGAGAGAACCAGGATGGAGGCGCTCCCTCCTTGAGTATAAATGTACAGTCTGCATATCCTAAATTGACAGAGCATGCTGCTTAGGGATATGAAGTCAGAAAAGACGTGAGGATTGTGCACTGAACAGTAGTCTTTAGTCAAACGGGACAGGGATGGCCTGGAGGACGCCAGCAGATAGCGCGAGAAGGGCTTGGACCCACCTGGGTCTGTGAGACTGGGAGGGAGAGCCAAGTGTGTCCACATGGACAGGCAGACCAACTCTCTGTGATGTTCAGGTTTCAGCCCTGATCCCCATCTTGGGATGGGATTGACAAGGAGGTCGGGAGCACGGGGGTTGGGTGAAATCACTGGTTTCTGCAGTTTTTGGTTAAAAAAAAAAAAAAGACTAAAAATTTAGTAGTTTGTCTATTAAGATCTATCTGAAGTTCCCTGTATCAAAACCTCAATGTCCAAAGAACTATGTTAAAAGCTTCTTAGCATCAGATAAATTAGTGCAGATGTGTCAGTTTATTACATCCTGAATATTTCAAAATAGCCCCAATTCGAATTCTTTTTTCCCGACATTTACTAGAAATTATTAATCTTTGTTATACTAATCTCAACCTAATCTAACACTGGGATTAAAATTCTTCATCAGGTTATACATCACCCTTTCTCTATGGAAATATGGTCACTATGCCAATAAAGTCATCCCATATTAACAAGGAAGGTCTCAATATTTTGGCTAGGTTAACAGAATAGGGTTAAACTTAGGGTCTATATCCAGGAGGCAATATAATGTTGCAGGGGAAACATGGACTTCAGAATCGGACATCACTGGATTTAAATCTTGGCTTTACCCCTTCCTAATTGTTGTAAACCAGGCAAGATAAGTAATTCTCTTGCAAGGAATTATCAATTTCCTTGTATGCAAATGGACACAATAGTACTTTACTCAAAGGGTTATTTCAGGATTTAAAGAGTTCATATTATATATATAACATATATAATATGTTAGTTTTTCCCATGAAAGTAAAAAGTGTTATAAATTTTCAGGATGCTCCGAGGTGTAAAATTTGGGGGTAAAACCCAGATTTAAGGTTTTCCAGCAACCTCTTAAATAACTAAGAGTAATTCTTTGTGGAGATAACTTCTTTTTTATTTAATTGCACGATTTTTACCTATAATAGCTGAGTTACTGTAGTGATACTGTTTTATTTTTTATTTCTTTATTGACGTGTAGTTGATTTACAATGTTAGTTTCAGGTGTGCAGCCAAGAGATTCAGATCCACATATATTTTCAGATTCTTTTCCATTATAGCTTATTATAAGAAATGGAAATAACTTCTTGATGAAAGAAATTCAAGAATTATTCAATAAGTGTCTGCTACATGCATGCACATATTCTTCTTAAATGGTCAAAAATGAAATGTCTTCCAAAGAGTTAAAAATATCCTAGGAAAAACATACATTGCTAAACAACTTCATGTTGCACGGTTATTAGTAGATTCTAAAGAGAGGCTCATTATTCTGTATGGTGTTAGAAGCACAAGGGTTCTGTTGTTTAAATATTTTACTTGGAAGGAGATTTCTACTTATGATGAACACTCAGCAAAGAAAAGAACTGATTCTGTTCCAAGTGAAAGGAATTAAACATCGATTTCAGGCTCCATTAATATGCTTATGTGCTTCGTGTTCAGGAGCCCCACCACCTGGAAAAGTATGCAGTAACAGTCTTTTATGGAGATTAAACTGAGTACCGAGAACAATTTTATTTCATTTATTTTAACACGGCTTTCCTTAATTATGTGTATGATTTTAACTTTGCTTTGTTTAATTATAATGTGTGTAAAGCACTTCAGGTAGGAGAAGTGGCATGTTCAGACCATTTAGCATCCTAATTGTACATGATCAATAAAATGAACTGCTGCATTAACGGCAGCATTTGTAAATGTTGTGGGAAAGCACTCGTCTATGTCTGAGGCACCGTAATCTCAGAGTCTCAAATTTTCAGCATAGGAAAACACTTTCAATTTAAGTAGTTAAAAACTAAAACCCTAGTCTCCTAGTTTTTCGATTTCCAAAGTTATCATTGCCTCTCTGTCACTGGTTATCACTTTCACACTGGCAAAGAGTGTGTGTAACTGTCAGGCCAAATCATTCCATCTGCTATGGAAGTTTGACTCAAGAACTTTTATATCCAGGTCAGTCTGGAAGTTATCATTCACTTTTCCTTTTACTCCTCGCAAATTTGATATATATAATTCCTCAAGTAGCACACTAGGCCTGCCACCGAGTGTGTGGGAGGCTCTTTTTCTTTCTGGAGGAGTCTTGTAGACAATGCGTTTTGTAGAACACCATCTTAGTATCAGGTCTTTGGAGGAAACCCAACAATCGAGATCCGGGAGGAAAGTAAACAGACCTCAAATGGAAGTGCACTCTTGGAGGCTGCCTGGTTTTCTCTTTTTGCTTTGTCTTTCCCGTCTCCTTCCCCCTTTTCCCTCCCGCTTTCCCTGCCCCGCTCTCCCTCCCTCCCCACCACTCTGGATTTTGGGCAGCCTTGCTGTCCTGGGGTGTAACATCATTCCTGATTTCTTTAGCTGATTACTTTGCAGCGCCTTCAGAAGCTGCAGAGGGACCGTGCTCTCCTGCTGTAAAGAGACCACAGCTCCGGCTTTGGGTAATCCCAGCTGCCCTGCTCCTCTCTCTCACCTACTTATTGCCCTGGAGTTTTCCAGTCCTTGCTACAAATACACTGGGTTGTGGGTGGCAGAGAAAACAGAGAGTGAGAACAATTTCCTAAATGATGAATTGAAATGGGGTGTAGAGACATCTTAAAAACAGTGAATTTGTGAGCACCGTAGCCCATATGGGTCCAATAAAATCATGTCAGGATAGTGTATATAGGATTAAAAGGACCCAAGGGAAGCCTTGGGTGTTGAGAATTTCACTCTATCTTTTCCATGACAGTCATGACTCATTTAAACTGGACATGTCCTCAGTGATGAGTCCTCATGTATAAAAAGACTGAAAAGACTATCTTTTGGTGATGGAATTATACATAATTTTATTTTTTTATGTGGCTTTCCCAGTCTTTTCGAAGTGTGCATTATCATAGAAGTTGAAATGGGAAAAGAAGGGACATCACCTGCCTAAGTACCTATTTCCACGGCTAAACTGTGAACTCCTCGAAGGAAACATCATATCTGAGTCTCTTTGTTTCCCCAGCACCTAGCACGGTGCCTGGCATAATTTTAGTGCACCATAAATATTTATGGAACTGAAATGAACCTCTGGCAGTTTGATGCTTTCTTTAAAACAGTTTTACAATCATAAGCAAGTAGCTCAGAAAATTTTTGATGAACAGTTCAGTCCCATCAAACCTGTCCCATCATTCCCATCCCACTCTCCAAAGGCAACCTTTCAGAATTATTTCCTTTACATCTTTTTGTGATCATCACCGATATTTTTGATCATATAATTTCACTTCGGTTGCTTGACTTATCAGATTAAGACAAAACCTAAAAAACAACTTGGCATGAAAGGTGAGAACTCAGCTCACTGCTACCCACTTTCTCATTCCACTAACCATCCCATTGATAGTTACAGTATTATTTTTAGCTCATCAATTTTAATTTTGCAAGCTAAAATTAATACCAAAGGCACACATTGAGAGAAATGACACAAATACTAAATGTGTAGTTCATTGAGATTTCTCACAGCGGACAGGCCTATAGAATCACCCCCAGATGAATAAACAGGAATGTTATCAGCACCCCAGGGCCTCCTTGGTGTCCCCCTCACAGACACTAACCAGCACCTTCACCAAAGGTAACCACAGTTATGAATTATATTGCAGTCAATAAGCTTTGCCTACTTTTGAACTTTCTTTAAACAAAATCGTACAATAATGTACTTATTTGTGTCTGTCCTCTCTGCCCACCATTGAGGTCGTAAGACTTAACCATGTGGTCACATGACATAACAGTTCATTCATTCTCATTACTGTACTCTATTGAATAATTATTTCACAATTTACTTATTTATGCTCCTATTAATGGGCATTTGCAGTTCGAAGTTTTTACAGTAATGCTCCTATATGTATGTCTTTTGATGTGTATACACATGCATTTTTTTTATCGGGTAGTACACTCACAAATGGAATTGTTGAGTCAGGGTACAGATAAGTTCAGATTTGGTAAATACTGACAAACTCTTGTACCAACTGACACTTACATCAACCGTACAGGAGAAGCCAAGATGTTCTACATCCTCTCAAACACTTAGGGTTGTCAGTGTTTTTAAGTATACCATTCTGGTAAATGCAAATGCTATCTAATTTTGACCTTCATTTGCATATCATAGATGAATGACGTTCAGCACTTTTTTGTATACTTATTGTCTATTCAGGTATGGAGATCTATTTTTGAAGTGCTTTTTTAAAGTTTTTAATGCATTTTTTAGTTGTCTTGCTTTTATTTATTTGTAAGAGTTCTTTACATAGAACAGAGAAAAGGCTTTCGTCAGACAAATGTATCAAACATCTTCTACCTGTGGCTTGCCTCTTCACATGTTTAATAATGCCCTTGATAATTAGAAGTTCTGCAGTTCAATTTATCAGTCTTTCCTCATGGATAGAGCTTTTTGTGTCATGTTTAAGAAACCTTCGCCAAATCCGAGGTCAAGAAAATACTCTCTTATATTACCTTTCTGAAGATTTATTGTTTTCCCTTTCACAGTTAGATCAAAATCCATCTGGAATTAGTTTCAAGAGGGGTCAAGGTTGTTTTTCAACATGTAGATATCTATGTGACCCAACAACATTTATTGGAAGTATTGTCATTCCCCGCTTGCACTACAGTGCCACCAGCATCATAAATACAGTGACCAAATGTAGATGGGCAGGTTTTGGCACTCTCTTCTATTCTATTGGCTTATTTATCTATTCCTGAACCAGGACCACACTTTCCTAATTACTGTAACTTTATTACACATCAGGATATCTGCAGCATAAATCTTCCAATTTTGTTCCTCTTTATAATTGCTTTGTACCAGTTTTAGTTTTGCAGGTCCTATAATTTTCAGAACAGCTTGTCAATTTTCAAACAGGCCATACATATACACAAACACACATTTTGGCTTTTTTCTTTAATTGAAATTGCATTGACTCCTTAGGTTACTTTGAATAAAACTGGAATATTTACAATATTGAGTCTTACTTAACATCATCACCATTGTATATCTTTTCATTATTTTAAACCATTTGTAAATTTTCTAATGTTTTATAGTATTCTGTGTAATAGTACTGCACATTTTTAAACATTTAATTCTATGTATTTGATGTTTTTATAACTTTCTTTTATTTCTTTGTCTAATTGTTACTAGCATACAGAAATACAATTAAATTTTTGCATACTGACCTTCTATCCTTCAGCTTTACTAAATTTATTTATTAATTCTAATAGTTGTTTGAAGCTTTTTAAGGTTGTTTCTTTGTTTTGGGTGTTCTCAAAGCTCACATAGATTTGTCTAGGTATGATTTTTTTTTCATTATCTTGCTCAATCTCTGTTTGATAGTTTCAAATACTCTTCCCATAAATCAGTGGTTTACACACTCTTTAACTACAGGTGCTCAGATGGAAGCTTCCCCTACATCCCTCCTCCTCACTCAGCCTGTGAGTGCCTCTGCCCGAGATCATTATCTGGGATTTTGACACTCACCTGCAACGTTTAACACTACTCCTGCCTGCTCTTGTAGTAAATACTGCATCTTAGTCATGAGCAATTTCATCAGCCTTGTGTGGGGATTCCTAATAAGATACCTTAGAGTTGAGTCCATGGTAACACATACTTGAAAAAGTTTTAAAATAAATTATTTGTGTATATTTACAGAAATTAAGTGAATAAAATCAATTCACCATACATACTGAAATGGATATTTTACAAAAAGTTTGCTGGGTCTTAGTGAATCCTAGCATTTAATCTCACTAAACCTCTGCTGCCTAACATCTAAATTGGGGTGTTACTAACTTCTATTTCTTTTTCTTTTTTTTTTTTGGAGGGATAAATTGGGAGTTCAAGACTTGCAGATACAAACCACTAATATATATAATAGATAAACAACAAGGTCCTATTATAGAGTCCAGGGAACTATATTCAATATCTTGTAATAGCCTATAATGAAAAAGAATATGGAAAGGAATATATATATATATACACACACACACACACACATAACCGAATCACTATGTTGTACACCAGAAATGAACACATTGTAAATCAACTATAGTTCAATTAAAAAACCTCTATTTCATAGTGTTATGAGAATTAAATGAACAAAGTGTTCAATACTGTGAGCTCTTATGACTAGTTCTCAACATTACACAAGTAATTAGTCAATTAGGAAATACTAAAACCGAGGTGTCATTTCTCTTAGCCTAGGGTAACTGTCACAATAATACAGAGTTACTTCCTACAGACACAAATTTGGGAAGCTTTAATTAATAAATTCGAGTTACTTAAGATGCCATCTGCCGATCAAAACCAGTGGTTTCCTAAGTGTTGCTCCAGTCACCTACGTGTTTTAAAGCCATTAACAAATGAGCACTGGTTTTGCACCAGCACAATTTGCAACATTTAACAAGTGACAAAGTGGCATTATCTGATTATTTCCCATATCATTTGGCTTTGTGGACCAGCATAGCTTCTACTTACAGTGAAAAGCAGGGAATAATTTATCCCTTAACAATTTCTGATTCAGGACGACTTACATTCTAGTCAGTGAATTAATGGGAGATAAGCTCAATTATTGAAACTCTTCTTTAAACATCAAATTAGGAGGTTAAGCATTGAGCATTTCCCAAAGTTTCCATCGTAAGTAGAAGAAACATGGGCAAATTAATATTATTAAATAGGTAGTCTGTTTGCAACATGCTTGTCATTCTGCTAGGCTGAAAGATGGACCAGCAAGGAGAGCCGCAATTGTATAAGCCATAATACTGGGTATTAAGTAGCCACCAGCGTGTCTGGCACATAGCAGCTCTTCTGAAAATGAGAATTCCTGGCCTCTGCTCCCTGGGCTGTTACTACACTATATCAGCCAAGAGCCTGTTCCAACTGCTGCAGTCCCAGCATAGTGACTCCAGCAACTCTGCCACAAGCACTGCCTTTCCAAGAAATTCTCCCAATCCCTGGCCCCATTTCTCACTGCTTCTGAACTCCCTAACTGATCTGACACTTAGCATTGACTGCCTGGTGTTGTTAAAACTCTCTCCACATATTTCAGCCTCTCTCTTCCAAACTGATTGTCAACTCCTTGAGGGAAAATTTCACTTTATGCTGCCCTGGTTTCATGGTAGGCTGGGTGACTCATGGCTCGAAGACCCACATGTTCATTTCACATCTCTGCAAGGAAGCTGGTGGAAACCATCCTCTACAATAAGGGTCAAAACTCAAAGAGATGTCTGGGACGGAGGCCACTAAGAGAACATGATAAAACAAGCTTTTGAGGGAAGACGGTGGGGCAGAAAATACTAATAGAACTGTGTCTTAAGAAAATTTGCTTGATCTGAGTAGATACGCATCTCTCCATTTCACCTGGGTTCAAACCTTGCCTCTTTACTTACTGGTTGTACGGCATTGAGAATGTCACTCTCTTTTCCCCAGCTTTAGATCTGTCATCTGAAAAATGTGGGTAATAATAGCACCAATCCTGTATCGGTTAGGAGGTTCAGAGAAGAGAAATTAAATACTTCAGCAGGGGGAGCTTGCCTTGGCCTTGGAGGGATGAAGGATCAAAAAGAGGTGAGACGACTATAATGACCACAGGAAGGAGCTTCTGCCCTTGGAGCTGGATGAACAGAGGGAAGACGTGGGGTTATCGGAACCCCCGAGCCCAGGGGAGAAGATGTGAGGAGTTACAAGGGCCAGAGCTCTGACTTTGGATGTGGGGGCCCTCCCGACAGAGGCAGGGATCTCTGAGGAGGCCCAGCGAGGCTGGTTCTGAAGGTAACCGAAGGGGCTGAAGTCAGGAACCACCTACAGCTGTCTGCGGTGGCTGCCACTGACCACACAGTGCACAGGTCAGGGGCCTTAAGTTCCAGCCTCCCTCTGGTGCCCCTATTGGTAGAAGTAACTGATGTCAGTGGGCAAAGAAGGAGGAGATTTGCAGAGTCCACACTCAGCATTACAAAGCAGAGGACAGAAGGTGGGTATGAAGCTCAGAGATAATATATAATCACTTGTCTGTTTGTTAAATGGGATAATAAATGGTTCCCCACGGATTTGCCTTCAGAATTGCTTAAGGTGTTGTACTGAAGCACTCAGCACAGAGAATGGGAACATAAAAGCTATTAATAAAGGTTAAATGTTTACCATTATTGTACTGGTGTTTGTTTTTGTCTTTAAGTTATCTATCAAACACCCTTAATTGATTTTCTATATTAGTATTAATAAGATTTGATAACCTTGACCTGTTTGGAGCTATAAAATGGCATTTCAAATGGATACTTGAGATTCAGACTCTCGTAACTCACCAACACTAAAGGTAAATAGCATGTTAGGAAAACAAAGTGCCCGCCCTTTCAAAATCGACCATCAGGTAAACAGTTATTTCCTCATCCGTCAGAATGTGGAATTCTCTGCCGTCATAGACGCTCGCTGCTAATCTACATGGATATTAGAATGTTGGGCACGGATCTCCTCATTAGCACTTTTAGACGCTTCCAATGTAGACCGGTCTACCCGAATTGAGTTTTAAGACGAAGAGAAACAGAAAACCAAGGGTCTGGCAGACATTTGCTCCTTCTCTTGGTCTACAGGAAGAAGACTCCTTACCCCCAATCAGCATGGTGCAGATGGAGAAGATCTTCTCTGCATCTGTGTTAGCGGAGACATTCCCAAACCCAACGCTGGTCAGGCTGCTGAGCGTGAAGTACAGAGCGGCGATGTAGGCGCTTCGGATCGACGGGCCCCCCAAGGTATTGTTGCCATAGTACGGAGATTCCAGTCTCTTTCCCAACTCATGGAGCCAACCTGCAATGGAAGAATGAGCACATAAGCCCCCCTTTAAAAAAGGGACGTAATGATGAGTGAACATATAAGGATGCACAACGTTGCTCAGGAGAAAAAAGAAAGTTAAAAGGAAATCGAAGGCAAGGAACTAGATCCCATGGCTCTAAAAGCAAAAGCATCACTTTCATGCAACTGTTTTTTTATCATACGCGCAGCAGAGAAATACGCATTCAAGACCAGACTGGTAGTCAAAGCTGAACAGGTTACCCTTAAGCCAGAAACTACCTGCAGAGCCAGAAACCGGGATTTCTCCTCTCAGGAAATTCTGTGGTCTAATTCAGTAGCCACTAAGCTCATTTCTCAATTGGAATTTTAAGAAACAAAGGGATTGGCAGGTATTTTCAACTCTACACAATGACAAACAGCAACCAAGACAAGAATCTAGACTTCAGACAGGTGAGATGGGCTTTATTTCTGTTCGGTACAAACTTTCCCTGTTTTATTCACTTGCACTGGTATCAGCTGCTTCATAGGTGTTCACTCACGGTTTCCTCAGGAAGTTTTCTCTGCAGCCTTATTCTGCTGTCTGGTGGGGGGGAAGCACAACTAAGAGGCACCTGTAACAGAACTGGATGCCCCCCTGCGACTGCTTCATCATCCTGGTGTATGTGTGTGTCAGAACGTATCAAATCAAATGTTTTAAATTCATGCATTTTATTGTATGTCAATTATACTGTCATAAAGCTATAAAAACTATGCCAATAAAGAGGGGAAATAACAAGTATAATATTGTAATAGGATGGAAACACAACCCAAAGGCCACTTTAAAATCGTTTATTGGAAATCTTTTCCCTCTAAAATTTTGTATTTAAAAATTCTGTGTGTGTGTAACAAAACCTATGACCATAAGACTTTTGCTAAGGAATGTTGTTCACTGACCACTATTTTCTTGCTGAATAAGTTATCTGGGGGGTAATTTGGCAATTATTTACTTTTAAAGGGAGTTTTGAACCCAGGGCTCTGTGCATGCTAAGCTATACCTTTCCCAGCTTGACCACTACTTTCTTATTAACACTTTACTTAATGGCTGTCCAAGAAGAGGGAAAGTAATTACCTTTTTTAAGTAGTAAAAGTGCTGTCATTATTAAATAAAGTTACAGATTATGAAACTGCGCTAGAAGATTAAAATGCAAATTTGAAACGACCGGGTTCCTTGAGGTCAAGAAGAAAGGCTGAGTGGCAAGTCCTGTGCCTTATTTATCCTGTCTCTAGAGAAGTGTTTCTCAACCATTAGCTCGCCTCCGAAACACCCAGAGGCCTCGTTAGAGACAGCCAGGTCCGATCCCTGGAGTTTCTGGTAAAGTGCACAGGAGGGCTGAGGGGGAAGGGCTGAGAACCCGCCTTTACGAGAGGTTCCCACGGGATGCTCACACTGCAGATTCAGGGCACCGCGCTTTGAAAAGTCACTGCTCTAGAACAAGGGGTCCTCAATGCTGGTGGCAGCTGGGAAAGCTTTTTAAAAAATACACTGCCCCAGGGCCACCTCCAGTACTGAATCAGAACTTCTGGTTCTGAGCTCAGGTACTGGTATTTTTAAAAAGTTCCCCGGTAGAATCTAATGCTAAGAGAGAAATCAGAAGCACTATTCCGGAACTTAACAAAGCCCCTAACAATAGTAGGGTTTAATAAATGCTATCTTAAAAAATGAATGAATTAATGAACGTGTAAATGGTTCCTGCTCTCTGCGGTAGTATGAGATAACATGGCAATACTGGTGCAACACAGCACTACATGTGCATTTATAAATTTGTACTAGATTTATGAACAAAGTGTAGTGAATGGATTTTTCGATGATAGAGAATCGTAATAGTGTGAAAGTTACATGCTAGGAAAGATGATGCCACTAGTAAGCTATGCCCATTTATTCCGTCTGCAAAGGCTTTGTGAAGGGCTAAACTCCACATTCAAACACAGATTTCAATCTGGACTCTTCCATTGCAGGCTGTGGGAACGACTAATTTCCTCTTCCCTTTTCTCATCAAAATAGGGATACTCTCTAACTGGTATGGTTGCAGTGGGATTAAATGAGACGTCACGTGAAGAAAATGCCAACTCTGTTACAGCAGAGGTTCAGTGGCTGATATCTCTTCTCTCTCACTTTCTTATGTTGCTTAAATTGGAACAAAGAAAAGCATAAAATTCAGAGAGTGAGGGAAAATACGAGATCGGGAGTGAATTATAATGGAAAAGGAAGGTGGCGACCAAGCGTATTCAGTAGAACCCAGGGCTGGCGTGTGACAGAACTGAGAGAAACTAAGAAACTAAGAGAAATTCTCATCTAAGAGAAACAGAAGGGAGAAAATCCAGGGGATGGCAGTTCTTAAAACTGGGGACTTCCACACCCATTTGTGAATCTGAAGAAAGACATGCTCCTTTTCCCAGGACAAAGCACACATGGACACACACACACACACGATTTCAGGCACATTTTCAGCTGGTCTAAGGGCCCAGATTAAAGAGCTCTGCACTAGAGTTTTAAGTGAGGGAAAGGAGGAGGCGAGAAAGCATGATTTGGTAAAACCTGGTTTAATCCTGTATGGAAGAAGATTTAGAAATAAAATAAAGGCAACTTATCTCAGATTAATTAAAGAGATTACAAAAGCGAACTGAATGTGCATTTAAAAAAATACTACTGGCGTATTTATATGCACTGTAGGAAGAGAATCAAGACAGGTAAAATCAGGGAGCAAAGATGACAGCTGAACACATCATTGTACGCAGGATGTTGACTTCTCTAGAGCAGTGCTCTTATAAGCATTTGATCCGTGCCTTGTCAAGTGTGGTCAACCACGAGAAGTTGAGTAGCTGGTGGATGGGCAGTTCTCATGTGTCTTCCAAGTAGTGCTCTGAAAGGGATGTCATATTTCTGCTCAGAAAAGAAGTGACTAGAGAGAATTGTCTCTTTGTTCCAGGTTGATCATTCCTGCTAATTATTGGGAAGTCTGAGCAGCTGAAAAATGTCATTTTGCCCAGAGAGTAAATATTGCATGACCTAATTTTTGTTTTAGTTGATGCCTAGAGGAATGAAACCATCACCACCACACACAATAAAGCCACTGCTCCCTCTGAGTTGGATTAGTTATACAATCAGGTCATAAAAAAACAAACCCATCTACTGATCTTGAAGTGTTCATTTACTTACAGAAACCAAAGTTTTCTCATAAAAAAATTAAAAGCAAACAAACCTAGCCGATATGTTCATTAACTGGAACGAAAGTGAAAAATTAAAGATTTCCCCAAATCATATCAGTTTGCATTTAATTCGATTTCCTTAATAAAAGAAGATAAAAGTTTGCGATAGGATACACAGGTTATATTAGATTACATTCTCACTCAATTCCTGCTCACTTACATTTGTGTGAAACTGTCTCAGAAGTGATTCGGGGAGCAAAACACAGACAAACAACAGAACTGCTTCTGTTGATCTCTCTTTTCTGTCTGGCCAACTGTTCTGTCTACTTTCAGAAACATCTTGTTTTTTTAAGAAGGGTTGCTACTAAACTGTGTTACAGCTGATGGAACAGAAGCAATAATGGTGAGAAAACCTGGTAACACGGAAAGGAGGTAACGCCCACAAACCCGGGGATTGGCTCTGTGGGCTAAATAAAACTTTTTCACAGAACAGCTTGTCTGCAAGGAGAGCACATGTTCTACTGTAACAAGACAACATGTCACTGGACTGTACAGAAGAAGCAATTTAACCAATTTGGAAGCCAATCTTTTTTTAATCCAGAGAAACTCTTCTCTAAAGGAAGGGATGTCCTAGAACAGTCTGTCTGCTTCTGCTCAATTTTCTTCTACCTAAGTAACATTTCGAAGGAAAAAACATACACAAAATAAAGTAGAATCTAAACATGTGGAACACACTGCCATCTGATAAAAGCAAAAGATAATCATAAAATAATCCTGTCATTGCCAAAATAGATTAGATGAATAAAATAGAATAGATTTGTGAAATAAATATCAATTTCAAAGACAGAATGACTCTTAATGACCACTCCCAGAAGAGTCTATAATTAAGCATGATAATTCAATCCATGTATTTTTCATTGCATACTTACCCTGGGCCCAGTATTTTGCTCAATTATATATTTTTAACTCTAAGCAGGAGTTTCTTGTTATTTTACTCTTTGGGTTTCTGCCAATAATATACTAACTTTTATTGTGCGTATGTGTGCATTCACAGTTTATACAGGTGTGACCTGCTTTGCACAACAGATGTGTTCCTGAGAAGTTTATATTAGAATTTGGTAAAATAACAGGTATTTTAGCTTAAATGAAAGGAATAGAAGCATGTTACTTAAGGAAAGCCTATAGGAGGGTGTGGCCAAATGGCAGAGCAGGGTCACTTCCTCACATGGGCACACCCAAATTACAAATATTTACAGAGCAACTGTGATGAGAAAGACCAGAAGAGCTGCCAGAAAAGATCTTCTAAGACTAAAGGTATAAAGAAGCAACCAGTGAGATGGGTAGGAAGGGTGGAGACAGGGTATATAGTCAAGACTTAGACCCACAGTGGGAAACCTACAAATGAGTGGGTAATTACAACTACAGAGGTTCCCCCAGGGAGAGAGGGCTCCCCAGCCTGGGGGTCCTGCCTCGGGGAGATGAGCCCCCAGAACACCTGGCTTTGAAGGCCAGCATGGCTTACTTTAAGGCTGAGAGAAAGAGAAATTGCATTCTTAAAGGGCACACAGAAAATCTCACATGCTGTGGTGCCCAGGGGAGAAGCAGTAATTTGAAAGAAGCCTAGGTCAGACCTACCTGCTCACCTTGGAGAGCATCCCAGAGAGATAAGAGGCAATGGAGCTCACCCTGAGGACACGGACATTGGTGGCAGCATTTTGGGGAACTTATTCTACCATGTGGACATTGGTGCTGGCAAAGTACCATTTTGGAATCCTCCCTCTCGCTTGTTAGTGTTGGGAACTGGCCCCAACCACCAGTCTGTCAGCACT